GGGCATATCGTAAAGTTAATAGACGTCCTTTCTTTTACCCCACTAACTCTAGCATAGGTCGAATTCGATACTCCCCGGAACTTACTCGCAAATGAGGATGGTATTTTTCGGAAATTGGTCAACGAATCTGCTGACAAGGAGACACTATATGTGATGGCCGGGGCTAATTGAGGACACAACACCAACTTCCTGGCAAATTTTTGAATAGTCAATTTACGAGACATACAATATATCCATCCAGTTATCACCCTAGTAGACGGTACGAGAAGATGTTATGGATGTTAATGTTATATAAAAGGTCACAGAGCATAGTGGATAGATGACGGAAGAGCACAGATCACAGTTAAAGCCAAGACAATAGCGCCAAGGAGACAGAGGGAAGTCAGAGGCTCCGTTGGACTTTTCTTTTTGGAGAGCGAATCATCGTCTATTGTAGCTCCCGTTGGTCGGGGGCGTGTCACGACGAGGGGGATAGTCTCTTCCACCAGCGCGTGGAGGTGCAGCAGCAGGAGGGGGAGCATAGTTGCCAGAATATCCAGGACCCCTAGCAGCATAGGCCGAGTCATAGCCAGGACCCCGCGCAGGTGGACTTTCAGAGCGACGCCTGTGAGACGTTCAGACAACCGTCAACTAGATGTAGAGAGCCACCCACCTAGTATACCTTGCGGCCGGAGGCTCCACGCTTCCAGATCGTGAATAAGCAGGATAGCGCCCAGGGGGAGGAGTAACAGGTCTACCACGGTAGTCGGGATAGTCTCTGTGGTCGCGCGGAGGATAATATGGATCCTTTTTGTCATCATACCTTACAGGAGCCGGTGGCCTGTCATAGTCATCTCGATCTCTCACTGGCGGGGGTGTCCGTCCTCTATGACTTAGGGGAGGTGGGGGATAACCCGGAGGATACCTTTCATTTGGTCGCCTTTCGTACCGGTCATAGTAAGCGGCAGGGGGAGGGGGACCTGGAGGACCTCGATAACCTGGATCCGGCGGGGGAGGATAACGCCCCCGATAGTCCACAGGAGGAGGGGGAGCCCCATAACGATCGCGCTCCGGTGGAGGAGGCCCACGCCTATATTCATCATACTCTCGACCGCGGGCCGGTGGTGGTGCATATGTGGGTGATGGTGGCCTGCGATAATCCTTGGGTGGTGGCGGTCCAGTGTCGTAACGGCCATCTCGAGGTTGGTGACGAGGAGGTCCGTAATCATCCCGCGGCGGAGGGTATGAACGCGACGGGGGAGGAGGGCCAGGTGGACGTCTCATGCGATCAGCAGTGTCGGGGTTGTAAGGATGGCGCTGGGTTCTGAACGAAAATCAGGAGCACAGTGTGAAGAAGAGAAGGAAATCTCTTACCCAGGTGGTGAGTTCGGGCACTCCCTTTAAATCAGGAGTCAATTGTGCAGGTTCATCAAAGGAAAGGAAGATTTACCGTGCCCAGTGCCCCATTTCGCCGCACCTAAAGCAAGCACCAGGATCGCCTGTATGCTTTGTGGTACGACTACCCCCTCGAGAAATTTCAACACGGATTGTATTCCCAAGAAATTGACCTTCATGATACTTAGCAACGCTCTGTTCAGCAGCTTCGGCTGTGTCGAATTCCTGAAAACGTGTTCCGCTGGGTTGGAAAGCTGCTTAGGCATGGTAAATGATGGGAACACACCACAAAGCCGAATCCAGTTCTGATTGGTTGTTGGTCAACAAAACATGTCCACTCGAGGGAAAGACTACGTACTTGAGTTCGATTGTCGTTATGGTTCCGAATTGCGAGAAACAACGCTGTAGGTCCTCGTATCGAGTATGTTCAGGTAAACCCCCAATGTAAACTTTGTTCGGCTGCGCGTCGAAAGGGAAACACCCCGTCCAAAGGAACAGTCAGTCAGTGGCGGAACAGACACAAAGCACGAAGGGTGATAGAGCCGTCAGTCAAGAAGCATGAACCAGCCACCCGAATGAGCCAAAAACACGAAGAACCACGAGGAATATGAACAATGTAGAACAACAACAGCAATTCAAAATACGCCACAAACAGTGGGGGAGGCGGTCACAAGCTATACGACACCAGGATACGTCAACAGCACGAGCGTCGGGGGGATCGATTCCGTGTGTGCGTAGGTGCATTTAGTAGTTGACACAGAGCACAAAAACCCCAGTGGTAATGTTAGGCAATCATCAATGGGCAAGGGGGAAAGGATGGGTGGCATATGCATGGCACGAGCTCAAGAAGGACGGAGAGACAAGAAGAGACCTAAGCACCTTGACTTGCTTGTCGCGAAAAGAAGCGTCGCCTTTGCCGCCAGAAACACTTTCGCCAACGCTAGAGCCCCGAAGGTAATCTGGGTTCTTGCTAGACTCTGGTTGTGCTGTCGAGTGTTCTTCGCCGTGCATAGGAGAACCGCCTGCGGAAGCGCCATTGCTCGCTGAGGGACCCATGTTTCTATCGTCCTGGGCGTCCCAGCCATCGTTGGGGGGCAGAGAGGCCTCAGCTGGAGAGGTGTCGGCAGCAGCCATGGAAAGTGAGAAAGAACAAACAAGCGCCCCTCCTACCCAGCTGCTGAACTTTATGATTAGTCACCCCGGTCTCGGCCGGCTTCCCCCCATTCGTTTCCGTCCGAACTGGATGAATTTGGCCATGGCATTGGCAGTTTCTGCCAGTACCTAGGAATGGTATAAGACAGTACATATCCTGTAACAGACTGCTAAGGACAAGTAAAGTTTTAAAAAACAGGATTATAAAAAATTATTTTTCCGTAAAGAAGACTGTCTGTAAAATTGTTCAGAAATATCTTAGCCACAGAAGGTCCATTATCCAGTCCCTACAATACGGTCAAAACACCTCCAACCACTGCAGTTAAAGTAACGAGAGTCAGACCCATGAGGGTTTGAGCATTAGTAGAGGTAGCTGCGTTGTTGCTGCCGCCACCACCGGATCCTGGTTTGCCACTACCGGCACCAGTCTGCTGTGCGCTACTTCCAGCTGGAGCACCGCTAGGTAGTGCGCTGACGGTGAAAACAGCAGTAGGGTTTGAGATACACGAGCTAGCAGCAGCGGTCGCTGGGGAAGAAGACGAAGCAGCTGCGTTCACAGTACCGTTACCTGCAAAGCTACATGCTTGAGCATTACGTGAATTAGCCTCGTAATATTCGCTCATCACGTATGATAGCTTGATGACTAAAGGGAAAATGTAAATTTGAAGCCACAGAATAACAAACAAAATAACTCACTAGGATCACATGCAGCGACACGCCCATAGGGTGTATCTGTGCCATCACCGCCGATATCAGCACATGAACCGCCTCCTTGGCTAAGAAGACCACACGCCGAGCCGACGAGATCACCAAGGACAACAGTGTAGTTGGTAGTTTGGGGTGTGAAGTGGCAGCTCAATGCGTTGAAGAGACAATCGCAAGCGGCTTCATTGGGGGTGGGGGGAAGGGTAGTGGTGGTCACCAAGGAATCAGATGTGGCAGGGCAGGCACCGTAAGTGCTTGCAGCAACAGACGATTGAGCGGGGCTGTTGGGGGGAGCGGCAAGGGCATATTGGGTCTGAAGGCGGTCAAAGTCATCGCTAGTCGTGACGGTTGATCCGTCAGTAGAGATAGTGACCATGCCGAATTGACCTTGTGCGGAGGACGCGGGGAAGTACGAGAATGCAATACCACCGGACCAGACGTCCGACATGTTACCGCTTAGCAATGCAACAGCTTCGGTCCATAGACGGGGCGGACTTGTGATACATCCGAATTCACTGAAGTATGCAACGACGTTGTAACTGGCAAAGTCCTGGGTGGTGGCCGAGTATGAATCTTGGAAAGTGGAAGCACCACACCATTCGCTGTGTGGAGTTAGTTCGAATCTTCAAGGTTTGCGAAATGTGCTCACTAGTCGTTCAGGCCGTAAATATCGATTGCAGTCGAGTCCGCTCCGGCACCGGAGGAATCACAGGACAAGTAGTTGGCAAGATCACCACGGAAGGTGGCGTCGCCATTAATAGCAGCATAGCCAATAAGAATGTTTGAACCCTTTGATTTTCTACGTGGCACGTCAGTTTTTATTTTTGGCGTGAAGCGAATGAACAACAGACAAGTAAGCTTTGGTATCCCGGGCTGCTGCCTTCACGAAGGGAGAAGCGGTGGTGTTACCCGAGATGACGACTTCATTACCAATGTTGTAGGCCAAGACGTTGTCGTATTTGCTGAAGGTATCAATGGTGCGAATGTACTGGTCAAAAATGTTGGTTGACCATGACGGTTGGAGGCGATCGATAGATCCATTTAGGGGGAGGGAAAGATCAATGCTAAGGGAGTATAGTTAGAAAAAGCTTTAAACAACAATAGTTGCATACATGGTATAAATTCCGGCGTTGCTAAGAGCATTCATGCAGTCATCGTGGTTGAGTGAGGAATCGACGCTGTAAACACGGATGGTATTGACGCCAAGCTGTGTGAGGAAAGGCAGATCCCGCTTGCAAGCGTCTCCCATCGCCAGCGGGTCAACGAAACTCGAGGGTTCACCAAAGTCATTGTCCGCAGAGTCGACGACAACACCTGTGAGAAAAGAGCCATAAAAAACCGTGAAGAAAGAAGTGGAGAGTAGGATTTACACACCTTGTTCCTGGTAAGCAATACCCTTAATATAAAATCTGCTCCCATTGTCTGAGTAGAGGTATCGCCCAGTACGTGTGACTTTCGGGATCGCCTGAGCACCGAGGAAGGAAGTCGCAAAAGCTGCGAGGAGCGCAGCGGCTCGTGAGATTGAACGCATGAAGCGCTGTAAAAATGTTGGGGAATAAGAAGAAAACTAAGGTTGAGGTACAGAAGCTGAGGGAGTGTGGGGGGCTATATAGCAAGCCGTCGTGGTGCAAAATGGAACGCAAGGGGCTCAAAAAGAAACGGGTGCTCGAAAGGCAGTCCAAAAATAGTCTCACGCCAAGATTCCGGACGGCTCCAGTTGTGATCATGACTAATAGCCCACGAGGCGTCGGAGGGCGGCCCTAAGCATCGCCCGCCTAGCTCAATCGGATAGAGCGTCAGACTCTTAGGCGGGATGATCTGAAGGCTGCGAGTTCGACCCTCGCGGTGGGCTACTATTTTTATTTTCTTCTCCACCTCACCAGCCATCCCCAATATAATAGGCTGAAGCGTTGGCAAGTTGCCAAGTCCAAGTCCTCTTTTTACCCCCCAAAAGTCTTGGTTCATCAATTTATATATGGAAACGGGTCATCGACGGCATTGCGCGCAATGCGCATGTGTACCTGCCAGTGCTGCGGTTGCCCTAACCCTTCGGTGTTGTTGAACACGAAGAATCCTGATAGTCGGAAAAGAGCATTGCAAAGCCTGGTTCAATAAAGACACCAATACATAGCTATGATTCGTTAAAACATGAATGTAGTAAATATCGTAGTCCAAACTTGTGAGTTGAAACTGAGCAGTGTAAACTGAAAATGATATAATTACGATGATGCAACTCCACATGATGATATCCTTCCTGAATCTAAGGTGCGTTCCGAATCGCCCGTCATGGCGAATACATCTATGTGCGGAATGTACAGCAGCTAGCCGGGACGGTAAGATTAATGTCCGAACCTACGGGCGAGAGGTGACGACATACCTGACCATGTATGGTACAATAGAGATCATCAAACATGCAAAGGCGGCCCAAGTCAAGAACACACCATTCCCAACGCTGACTTCGATACCAACAGGACTTGGATTCCCTGCCTGGCCAACAATGAAATTGTTGACGGAGGCAGCTTTGTTTATGATGACAGTCCATATGCTCGCACCTATAAGCAAGAAAAGGCTGCCTACGATCGCAAACGTCGTTGAGGCAAAGAAAGTAAAGTTGTTTATAGCAACTCCGCTAAATAAGCTGGTTAGTAACATCCCAGAGAAATTTAAAGAGGACAATACAACATACAGAATCAGGGCTAGGGCAGCACAGATGCTCCCTAGTAGTATCATCCAATATGCCGCACGAGACGATGAACCCAGATAGGATGAGTCCGCAAATGTAGTATCAACAATGACTGCTTGTGTGAGCACGGAGTAATTGGCAAGCATGTCGGAGGTTATAGAGTCTAGTGGTCGAAATTGGCTGGCTACAGTTTTGTTGGCACAAATCCCTGAAGTTCCCTGCCTTTCTTCGACATATCCGCAATGTGTGTAAAGTCCAAATTCGTAGAATTGTCGTAAACCCAACGCCTGTCCTAGTGGCAGAGAGGCATTGTTCGTGTAGAGAGCTTGTATGGGGTTAAAGAGAGCATCGTGAAGAGCATCACTGTGGGTTGGGATGCTTGAGCAAGGACTACTTCAAATCACAATAGGGACGACTTACCCATACCCCGAAACGTTTACTTTCGCCTGCAGACGTTATATAATTGACGCAGCGTTGCAAAGCGATCTCACGTACCATAGCTATCTGGCGAGGAACATGTGATGTGTTGATTTGGCCAACCTGGAGGCATGTTAAGAAGCAACGATGACGACAGGGTGAATATTGCTTACATGGACAAAGATTAAGAGCATCATAGACGTGAACCTGGCATTAGCATGAGTTATGAGGGCGCCAGTTAGATAGTGGGTTGAGGTCGTACGAGAAGATGGTTGCAAAACCAACACAGATTTCTCCGCGCATTTTTCCGCTTCAGTAACGCGCCAGGGAGGAAAGAGATAAGACTTGTGGACCAACGAGTTGATCTGGAGGGGTTATATGGATGCCTGACGAGCTGCAGGCTGCCCGCCTGTGTAATGTACAACAGGCTGGCACGCTGCAAAGTCGCGCTGCAAACGTGGGCTGGACGGCACTTGCCGAACGAGGAGTAAGTGCCGGATTTGGAAGATACCCGCTTCACAAGCATCGGCACCGCTCCTGGGCTTGGTGGTCCACAGCATCTCTTATTTTGGTGCTTTTCCGTCGCCCTGTGGCTCTTACCGCAATGAGCAACACCTTCCAAGAACCGCCGTCGTTGTCCGACATCAATTTGACGCCTACCGCACCAGACGCAGCCCTCGCCCCAGAGACCATGACCCAGGATCGTCCAACAGAGTCATCGACATCACCTACGAGCAGTCGCGTTAAACGACTTTCCAATGTTGTCGAGAAGACGGTTGAGAAGACTGTCGACAAACTGAATAGGAGCCTCAGCGGGAGATCTTCCTCGTCTGGTCACTCAACGCCACCGGCAAGCTCAAGAGGCATTTTCAGCATCAACCATAAAGGGAAGGGTCGGCAGGAATCTGGGGATATTGATGGTATATATATATCTGCTCATCGTCTTTCCTGGCTTTTTAACGTGGTAAAGCTTCTACTCTTGTTTCTTCTCCCATTATGTCATCCCCCATCTCCCCAAGAGCGTCGTCGACACCGTCGACTATCGTGCCTCATGAAGACTCTCCCTTCATTCGCCCACCTTCACCCCTACCCACCAGGCCACCCTCAACACCATTCCGAGGAGCAGGATCGGTATGGAGAGACGTCATCACTACCTATTTATATGCTAACTCGTCATAGATGAGACCAGGAACACAAACACTGATACAAGCACTTCAGGCCTTGCCGTGGTTGGATGCTGAGAATGAAGATGATCTCTCGCCACTAGAACATGGTCAGGATGAAGAAGGTTCCGACGAGGAGAGAGACAAAGCGCGTACGTATTCGTGCCATTTCCCTGATTGTACCCCCTGAACAATCGGCAGACGACCGTCTTACGTCCTCTATCCATACAATTCATCGTCCTGTGGCGCGTTCGCGTCGAGTTGGAGTACCTAGCAACGCCCTCCGTCCGTTCAGGGAACGAGCCACCGAAGACGAGCAAGATGGGGATCGCTCAGATGAAGAACCTGAAGACGAGGATTTCGAGGACGGTACCCTCAAAGTCCCAGTTACGACCACATTACACCCTGTAGGCCAGAAAGCTGGTCCTTCTGCTCCTCGAGGCGTGGATCCACGCGTTTCGAGAATCTTGCCTTCTCGCACAGGCAGCACGGCCACTGTGCGTTTGCAGCGAAGAACGCGTCTGGCGGAGAAGTTAAAAGATGTCTTCCAGTTGGATGGGATCGAGGAAGTCGTAGCTGGTGCGCAGCTCATGATTATACTGCTGCTATCCAATACTGACGGAACTCGCAGAAATGCCATGCTGGATTTTACGCTCGATCTGTAGGTCGGGTGCTCATCTAACTGTGTTGTTTCTCATAGCTCTCCCGCAGTACTACAAGGGTACATGTACCTAACTAACTCCTACTTATGCTTCTTCGCACACATGCCCTCAAGAGAAGTAAGTTTTATTGTTTCCTCGTACGACTTTGCATCTCACTATTCTGCAGGACCAAATTCTTAAATCAGGTTCCTTAACCAAGAAAGCCCAACGGACGAAACGTTGGATCAAGCACTGGTTTGTCTTGAAGAATGATGCCCTCTCGTGGTATCAGTCCTCATCAGTACGTTCAGCCACGAGAAGAAATTCAAATCCTGAATTTCCACAAGGATCCTTACTTCCCTCATGGCATTGTGGACCTGAAATATGCACTATCGTGCGAGCCGGTCAATGACAAGGAGATCCGCATCCGCACTAACACGAAGAGTGTGATGCTGTCCGCTGACTCCATACCCAGCCGTGATGAATGGGTAAAGGCCGTTCGGAAGGTCATCTTCAAGGCCCAGAATATGGGAGACAGTGTCAAGGTTGGCTTGCATATGCGTCACTCTTCACAGTACTGAGAAGTGCCCTTCTAGATCGCCATTCCGTACTCTGCGATCATTGCTGTCGAGAAATCAGCTGCGATTGATTTCAGCGAAACAATCGAAGTCAAAGTTGTTGACAACCCCGAACGGAATGCCGATGACTCCTACTTTTTCGCATATTTCCACAACCTTCCCGCTGCTCTCTCTCAAATCGAAGAGGCGGTCCGTGCTTATCGTAATTTATCCATACAACCCTCAGCCAAACTTGTTCTTGACACCACCGTACCTCGGCCAACCAGTTCCTCTGAACGTGCTGTAGTCTCAGCGGGACCTGCAACTACACCTAGATCGACCACATCCGTATTCCGTTTGGCCTCTCTCCTCCGGCCTCTTCAGGCAGGTATATCAACTGTGCGCGGGACTGCGTCGGAACCGCCTCCTGAGCTTTCATCCGATCATGACGACTTTACCCATGTCTCCAAGAGAGCAAATTCCTCTTTTCTGCCTTATACAACGTCACAGCGGATAGACTCCCAAGGGTCCTCCGACAAGGCTCAAGACGATGTCAAAGGAGTAACGTCAGCTGCGAGTCCTAACCACACGTACCCACCATCTACTTCGAATGCATTTATATACTCTGACTATACTTTCTCGAGCAGAGAGACCTCCTCCTGGGCGTCGGTTCCCTCTTGGCTGAAAGGAACGAAGAACTTAATCAGCACCTCTCTTGGCTACAATACCCTTTCAGCTACCCCCACGGGAATTCGGGAGATGTATTCCTCGACAGTGGCGAGCAGTTCGCCTACACCTAGCAGACCCAATACCAATGGCCTCGGAGATCTGGCTTTCAGCATCTTGGAAACACCGACTATACCTCTTGGTCTTGAAATGGTGGAGAAGTTCAAGAAGGCGTTTGCATACGACGATAAAGAACTTTTACTTGGTTGTAAGTGTTTTGACCCAAAACAGAGCCCCTTGGTTGACTGGTTCGTTTAGATTTTCCCGGCTATATTTATCGGTTCTTGCCCGTGCATGGACGCTTCTACGTCTCGATGAATTTCTGCTGCTTCAAGGCCAGCGGTCCGCTCTCTGTCCGTACGAACGTATGTGATGTCCGCTCAAAGCGTTTCCAGAGCTCACGTCCCTCCCCTAGATGACCCTGCCCATTAAAGACATTCTTGCCACCGAAAAGTCGAAGGCTTGGCACTTCGGACGCTATGGTCTTATCATCATTATTAGAGGTCACGAGGAATTATTCCTTGAGTTCAACGACGAAGAAAAGCGGGAAGCATTTCTTGTGCTGTTGAACAGGCAAATGGAAGATGTTCGAAGGAGAGCATTACACGGGGAACCAATTCCTGCGTCTCCTGGAAAGCGGGACGCCCTCATTCTAGAGGAACTCG